ATTAAAGACCTCCATGTAAGACCAGATGCTTTAAAACTCCTAAAGGAAAAATACACTCTTTGACATAAATCACAGCAATATTTTTTTTTGGATCCTTCCCCTAAAATAATGGAAACAAAAACAAAAATAAACAAATGGGACCTAATTAAACTTAAAAGCTTTTGCACAGCAAAGGAAACCATCAACAAAACCAGGTGTTCTTAATGTATCTTTAATGGCATTGTGTACATATGTATCTAAAATAGGTGTGCAGGTGGCTTTGCTGTTTAAAAGGCTTAAGGGGGTTGAGTCTGGTGGTCCAGACTAGGCAACACACATGTGCTGAATCCAGAGTAAGGACGGTATGGCCAGAGGGAGGAAAATGCAAGTAAGGGAGAATATTACCCTTGTACAGAGTAAAAATAAGTACATTATAAGAAATACATTCAGAGGGATATAAATTAGAAATCCTCTATCTGCCTAACTTAAGTTTTCTACTTATTACAATCTTTCCAGCTTAATTTCTAGAACATTTGCAAAGTACTATTTTAAGCCAAGAAGTATTTGCTAAAATTTAATTGCTATTGAAAAAAATCTCAATGGTAGCATTTTTAAGGGCCATAAATCTGTTGATTTAATAAAATTAATGAGTTCTGCTGGATTTAATGTCTGTGTAGGATTTTTGGTGGAATAATCATACCACGGAGAAAAATACTGTATAGACCACTTTTGTTTTATGTTAGAAATGTGAAAGGAAACCAGGTAAAGTTGAATGCCAAGAATAAAGAACTAGCAAACTAGAGGGAGTACCCCACGGGGGCATTTGAAGTCTGTTACACACAATAATAGCCCAGTCTTTTAATGTACATATTGTCCCTCTCTTGATCATCTTATTATTCCATGTTTTCCTATCATATGGAGATGACGCAGTGAGGAATTATAATTCCAGTGGTAGAATTCAGTTAAATTAAGCTATAATAGGAAGTTTCTGCTAAGATAACCAAACCTATAAAGTAGAAGTTTTAGGAAGATGCTATAGACCTTCCTGTGCCTATTGCAAGCCTTTATGATGCTTGACTGCTGGAATATTACAGGTGTATGATGAATACTAAGAACTAGATAAACTGAAGGAAGCATGGATTATAATTTTGATCCTCTCATAACTAGAAAAGCAAATATTCAGTACATGTTAACATAAATAATGTATTTTTCTCTTCAGATTTTTAGGGGGTAGAAGATAAACAATCAAGAACGAGTAATTCTTTTTTTTTTTTTTACCTTTTTCTCTCACACACACACACAAATCTGTAATGATAAAAGTTAACTTGAAAACAAATACTTGTTTTTCATCCGTCTTGACATTTGAGCATGGATTTATATTGGACTTCAATTTTTTTCCCTCCATGTGCTGCATCCATGATGCATTGTCTATGAGTCTGTTCCATTTTGAGTTTCTGTGAACAGCAAGAACCAAGAAATCTGAGGGCTGATGCCTGCATCTTTACATTTTTTCCTGAAGTCATTTTTTTGTTTTTTCAGTTTTATTAGGTAGAATTGTTACAATGTGACTGCACATATACACTATATTGCACATAAATACATAGACACAATATACTGCACATATTATTAATTTACATACATATACTGTTCATTGTTT